TTTTTTTGCGTGTAAACAACCATAGAGTGTTAACCCAATGACATTTGTATGTAATCTCTTACAAGACACATCATTCACTGCCAAATGGTATACAGTTCATTTCACCATGCACTTTGTTGTGTGTATACACGATTCTAACAACCAAAACACTCACGTTCAGTGTCTTGTTCTTTTTCAAATCATTATGCATTAATTCATGCTAAAATTTTATTCTTTTCATACAACAATGACCTTGACGGAATTAGTTGAAGACTTAATGCCTGATACTTTTGAGTATTACAAAGGTTTCTAAACAATACTCAAGAATCTACGGGTGTTATTAGTTTGTAATGAAGATAATACTTTTGCAACCCTCCAGCAAGTTGAGGAGATCTTGATATTCTATGAGGTTATATTTCGTTCTGCTTCAGTTCCAGTGATTGCAGAAGTCACTGATATTTCCTGTAATGCTTTATTTCCTTTGATTTTCACTAGCAATATGATTATCTGTCGTAGTTTTCAATGAAAGTTCACAGGCTGCATTAAAATCCAACTTATTCTTACTCTCCGTATTGTAGTTTATTCCTTTAGGAATTGAATTGTATTCCGAGGAGGATAAGTTTTTTCTGAAAGGTTCACTACCTATTTCTGTTTCGTTTCTTTCCCCTCTGATTTAGAGATCTTGAGCAACTTGTTTCTCAGTTTTTCTCTTCTTATTTTCTTTTGGGTTTCGTTGCTATATTTATGGCAGTGGCTTGTTGGTTCCTCATCTCTTTTCCTAACATTGGTCTTAGTATTTGTTGTTGGGTAGTGACTATCCTGTTGCCTTCCTTGAGTCTCTTATGTGCATCTGATATCACTAATCACATGATTCTCCTTCCATTTTGTTCAGCGATCTTGGTTCCAGTTGGACAATTGATAAGTGGTCTATATTTAACACTTAGTGACAGGGTATGCTTTCTTAAGCATTTATATGAGAAGAAAATTTGTTCTCGAGTAAAAGCACTTTGGTCAGTAAAATTCTTTTGTTTCCAAGCATAAAGAAGCGCACTGGACTGGAAAGCTTTTGAGATAGTAAATTAGACTTATAGCTCAGCATTAGAATGGTAGTTATCTTGGTTTTTCTCGGACTTTTCATCGCCAGGCTTAGATTTCATCAGCATTTACTTCGTATAGATGGTTGACTATAGATTTTTTGCATTCAGGAGGACTTTAACAGTTTCTAGACTAACCGTTCTTTGTGAAACAGATGCCTCACTAAGACAATCTAAGGTTGACAGTTTCATGTAATCCTTAGTTGCTAATACTTATTCACTTGCACATACCAAGGTGCACGCTGATTGAATGAAGAGGGAAGATTGTGACAGCGTGCCTGAGCACTTTTCAAAGAGGTTTCCAAAGATGGTTTTCAACTGTAAAATTCTCGCCACCTTACATAACAGTCGACATGAAGTTAATGTCCGGAAATCATTTAAAATAAACAAGTGGACACAAATTGAAACATTTACCTTAAGCCATAGTCGTCTAACAATGAAAACTGTCTTTATGTATTCAAAACGAAAGTTGTTTGTCTGTCTTGACTATGGTAATGTTTGGTATCACTATAATCATGATTTCTTTTACGTAGCATAATCAATTGACACGCCTATATGGTTTGTTCTGCTTCACACTATTAACCTTATTCTCTAAATTCTACGTCTTATTTCTGGTCAAAGGTCACTTGCGTTACGTAACACCTTTCATAGTGCATAGAATATATTTGTTCCCCCACATTTTACAACTTCTACTTTTGCCTCGCAACTATTCGTTGAAGTTTATTATCACCTACTGCAATTTCAATAACATGACATCAACTTAATCTTTTCTTCAGGATGATAGTTTTCTATCAAGTTTTTTCAACTGTGTGAACATTTTTTTCGTATAATTTGATGTTAAGGTTGTTTTAACTGACTGAAGAGAAACCGTGAAGTATAATGTATTCTAGCTATTCTGTTGAAACTGATGTTTTCGCTTTATATAACATTACTGAAGTAAATCAGTCCTTAGTGTTGATGTGATGTTCCCTTTTCGCTTCACTACTCAATTCATTTTATCCATCCAGGAAGTAAATTATTTCGAGTTGACTGAGCAAATTAAAATTACAATGTGATATTTTCAGTTTTTCGGTGTTAAAGATAATTAATCGACAGTAAAAGGTGCAGTTATGCTTTATGTTTCACTATTTAACGAAGTGACTTCTAAAGTATGAAAACATTACTGAACGAAAGTTGATAAAAATGGACAATGCATAGCCAAATATTTCTTCTGTTATATATATATATATATATATATATATATATATATATATATATATATATATATATATATATAATTATTATTTATTTGTCCCTTGGCTTCAGTAGCACGTCTCCAGTCCACTCTATTCTCTGCTGCAATCTTTCAAACCTGACTCCACGACTGACAACAACCTCTCATCTCTTCCTCACACCATCTCCATGTCACCATCGCCACACACGCACAACTCATCGTTTCCCATCTCAGTTTCACTCGACGGTCTGGAATGGCCTACAACGTGATGTACACAGTCGGCCTTCTCAGTGCATGACCAATCCAATCATCTCCACTTCCTTCCACTGCATATTTGTTCACTCATAGGTTCTTGCTTCGTTAGTTCGTTGTCCGACCAGAGTTCCTTGTTGCTTATTCTCATTATTCTGGCCATCTGAGCTTCAGTAACGAGGCAGCATAGGCAGTTGTTGATGAATGACTATAGTTTGTTCGAAATCCCTTTGGTGACGCGCCAAGTCTCTGAACCATCACATAGAAACACTGACTGACTTGACGTTGGTGTTGGTGTTGAAAATGCGGTTGTTCAGGTTTTATGCTGAGTGGAGTGCAGAAGATCTCCACATTGGTTTCAGGTTAATGAATGCCAGTCTTGCTGTCATTCCGATCCTGGCTGGTTTTGACATTCTCGTCTGGGCCGCCTCCGCCTTTATTTGAAACGATGCTGCCTTGCCTAGGTAGGTAGGTATGTAGGTAGGCGAAAGAGGTTACTTCGTTTAAGTTTCTCCAGTTGATGGTGATTGGAGCTTGTTGTTGTTGGAGGTGTTGGTTTTGTGTTTTTATCACCTGTGTCTTCTCTATATTCAGTTGAAGTTCCGTCTTTGCTGCCTGTCTCTTCTATCAACTTGTTAGTTTTCGCCTGTAGATCTCCGAGTTTGTGTGAGCATGTCCGCTGTTGTCCCTGAGTCTGCTCTCAATGCTTCTGGAGGGATTTCATCTGGTCTTGCTGCTTTCCCACATTTCAGTATCTTTATGACATTCCGGACTCCGACTTTTGTTGGGAGATTTGTGTTCACTGGTAGTTCTGTGGCTGCAGATGGTGATCGATTCAAGAGCTTTTCGAAGTAATCAGACCATCGTTTCCTTTATTTCTCTTCTTTTGTGATTATATTACCTTCATCATCTGTTATTGATTTCATCTGTGTTGATCTCTTCCCAGATAGTAATCTGGTTATATATAAATATACAAAACAGGACATGTATCAGTAAAGAAATATTTCTTTTCAGAGACTTCATTATCAAGCTGTACAGTCGTATTTATAATTCCAAAGTGGCAGATAAATATACTAAACAATTAGTGTTAGTGATGCGATTTGTTCGTGTGAGAGAAATGGAAAATGGGTCATTATATAAGGAACGAAATGATAATAAATGATGAGATAAGGGACAAGAGTTATCAAAGAAGTGTATACTAATGATAAGTTAACTAAACCATACGAAATACATCAATGAATAAGCAGCGAACTGATATATAAATGGTGAAGCATGGGTTAAATGTTATCAATGAAGTGAAATTTGGTGATAATGATGCTGATAATAAAAGTGAACTATACTAAAGTATTGAAGTATTGAAATGAATTTGACATAATAACCAAAATGAATTAATAGGGCCAAGGTAGAGAAATTGATTTCACAGAACATTTTTCAATGCAAAGTTTTGGATTTTGTTCACGTATAGCTAATGCTTCAACTATGCATAACTATTGGAAACTTAAACCTTTCAAGTAGTTCCATTTTAACTTTGTAAATTAGCTTACACAATGAATCTCAAGGAGCTGAATGACCTAACTCTATTGAGTGTTCACATGTGGATGAAATTGTTTTTCTTCACTCATCTTTGATTGGTAAGCCAAATCAGATAGTGTTCAGCAATATGTTTTCGGAAATATGCGAATTCCATGTTTCCTTGTACATGATATGCGAAAATTTTGTACATCTGTAAATTTAAGACTTTAAACTATTGAATGAAAGATAAATGAAATAAAGAATTTTTCAGTCTGATCTTACATCTAGAATGTATAAAACTTTCATATTACAGGTTTCTTGGATTTCCAGGATGATTTATTTGCGAATGATTTACAAATTGAATGGTCCACGTTGACATTCAATACGATTGAGTAGTTTTTCAACTGCCTAACTATAGTGTCAACATTTTTTTCATTCAGCTGAATTTCCTCGAATACATCACTGATCAGCTCAGCCCCAGATGAATGAAGTGACAGCCCTGCTTTTAGTTCACTTCTATCTGATTGGTTAGCTGGCGAAATTTTCAGATCAGCCAGAATGGTCTATAACTACTTAAGTTGTTCACCAGTAGTATGTTTCTTGAATTTCTTGAAAATTTACTTATTACTAGTTGATATTTAGTAAATATTCAATTTGAATTGCCAGAGTACTGTACAGATATTCTCAGTCATTAAAAACAATTTGATAACTTCTAATAATGTATGATCAATTACAACTGATTGTCAGTTGAATAGAATCTACTTGTGAGGACCTTGAACGTCCTTGATAACCTTGAGCTTGAACGTCACTAGCAAGTATTCATAGTTTACTGCAAGTTGATAGAGCTAAGTTATCTCGGAAATGACTACCTTTTAACCATCTCTCCAATGTTCTCTTTATGACGACATCTATTCTGTCTTCTTTGTTTTAAAAAAAATGCTCTATGTCAGTAAAATTGCAACCTATACAGAGACAGTCAAGTTAAGTCAACACTTTGAACAAGAATATACTCCACTTATTACCAGTGAAAATGAAGTACCTATCGATACGTGTAAATCTGTTCATGAAAAGGAAATACTCAATCCAGTTCCAATTAACTTACAATACAATAAATATGGATTAACTGAACGTGGTTCAGTAAACACAGAAGAAACTGGTCACAGAGATAACCAAGAGAACAATCGTAAAGATGATAGCATAGATTTAAAGCAAAAGGAAATAACAGATACCCATGAAGAGGAAAAAAGGCATAAACTTCATCTTCTACAAGTACTTCAACAAGTTGATAAAGAAGAGGAAGAAAAGGCTAAACAAAAGCAATGCCTGAATCCACCTAATTCGAATTCACATCAGCTTCCTGGAAGCGCCAATTTAACCAAAACTACGTAAGTGAAATTGTTGTAACCAACTAACATGTGTCTAATCTAGTGTTAAACTTAAACACCATCAGGTGTTGAAGTCCTAGTGTTTAAATATAGGGAAAAAAAGCCAAAGTTGATAGCTAGACATCTGAATCGGTGTTGTACTTCAAGAAAACACTTGACAGAAGAACATTGAAATCATTAATATTCTGCGAATAATGCCTCTTTTGTTGGTTTTTAAGAATTGTTTGATCTCAGGGTAGTTACTGTCTCTGATTGATATCATTTGGAGAACCACTGAAAAACCGGGAGACTTGGACAGCTGTTTTATCTTAGTTCTGGCCTTCCCGTGGTACTATGGACTCATTACATCATTGAGAATTGAAACCAAGACTATAAGACTTTCCACTGGGTTGGAAATTGATTATTCACATTTTCTTAATTCTATCACTTTGCGATATACTTGGTTGACATTCATCCTCATTTTAAACTTAGTCAATAGTGACACAGCTACTTTAAAAGCAATTAATCCTTATGAACCACCAATTTATTATTATCTCGTGGTAATTACTGACATGTTTTAAGATAGATAGATTTCTTGAAGTTTGAGCGAGAAAATGTGACTGATGTGTTCAATCAAGTCGAGTATGGAGATAAATTCCAGTCGAGTATATCAGATAAGTGTCATGCTATAACATGAATTGACAGAAGTATGAAAAATGAAACCATTGCATGCCAATCTAGTGAATTAATGATAAAGTACTCACTGAAAGACCTTGAAGTAGTTGGGCTTTATCCTACGTGAGGTCATGGGTGCACACTATTCAGCACTCCCAATGGTTCTTCACCTAACTGACACCGATCCATGACGAGAGCTACTTTGTATATTTCTTTGTTTATTTACGCTGGAAAGTTTTATATAACACATTATACTACTAAACTGGGGTCAGTTAATGCTTTTATTGATGCACAAACGAATAAAAAAGACTTCAAAACTCTTTTGATCTTCTCAATGTACTCATTTTAGAATGCGTATGTGCATTTTCTGATGTAGAAAATTTCTTACCTACCACTCTACGCAAAACCAAACATATTATCATTTTTATTTTTCCTTTGGGTTCCTAGTGGAATATAGAGGTTCAGTAGCACGCCTCCATTGCACTCTCTTCTCTTCAGTCTTTTCAACCTGGCGACATGACTGCTCACAAACTTTCATTTCTTCCCCACATGATCTCCTCCATGTCACCCTCATCCAGGATGCCCGACTGGTCGTTTCCTATCTGGGTCCCACTGACGGTCTGAAATGGCCTACAGCGTGATGTCCCCAGTTGGCCTTCTCAGTACATGCCCAATCCAATCATCTCCACTTCCTTCCACTGCATATTTGTTCACTCATAGGTTCTTGCTTCGTTGGTTCGTTGTCCGACCAGAGTTCCTTGCTGCTTATTCTCATTATTCTGGCCATCTGAGCTTCAGTATCGAGCCAGAGTAGGCAGTTGTTGATGAATGTCTGTAGTTTGTTGGAAGTGCTTTTCATGGCGCGCCAAGTTTCTGAACCATCACATAGAAGCACTGACTTCATATTGGTGTTGAAAATCCGGATGTTGTTCTTTGTGCTGAGTGCAGTAGATCTCCACAGCAAATTCAGATTAGTGAAAGCCTATCTTGCTTTTCCGATACTGGTTTTGACATCCTCATCTATGCCGCCGCCTTAAGTTGAAACGATGTTGCCTTGCCTAGGTAGGTAGGTGAAAGAGGTTACTTCCTTTAAGTTTCTGCTGGTGGTGATTGGTGCTTGTTGTTGGTGCTGTTGTTGGTTAGGTATCTCCATCACCTCCGTCTTCTCTGAAGTCACTTGAAGTCCTATTTTCGCTGCCTCACTTCTTCTGCCAACTTATTGGTTTTGGCCTGTAGACCTTCAAGTTTTTGTGACATTCGGCACAAGTCATCGGCGAAATTCAAACTTTCTTCTGGGGTCTTTTCATCGGCCCAGCCAGCGTATGCCCATCTTCTCGACTTCTTCATGACTTACTTAAAATGTATGATTATTGTTCACCAACCCCCGACCACGTGATCAGTAATTCGATTGAATTGTAAAACTATATAATTATTAGTGTAGAGTCGAAGACGAAGACCTAATTGAAACGGAACATATTTCATAGCTCGCTCAATCAGTCTTTTTTCTGAATGTTTAAATAGGAATATTCAATGTACTGAAATCTCAATTCATTTTCAAATGAAAGTTATTTCAGTATTACTCCTGCTTAGTTAGGCTTATTATCCATATCATCTTTGAGGGAAAGCAAGTGATCATTTTCAATGTATAGTAGTTTAGACTGAATACTAATTGATGTTTTCCCACCAGGATAACGGTCTTTTGTTCAAAGTGATGCAGTTATTAAATACCAAAAGCGGTGACTTTTTAATGCCAGTAGACTCTAAATTATAGCTGTAGAATCTCACATTAACTAAGGCTGAAAGCAGTTATTCAGTGAATGGTATGAAGACAAAACATAATGCAACTTTATTCATACGCATAATATAGGCGTGAATCTTCAGCAGTATGATAGATAGAATGTAAATTAGTTTTGTTTGTTAGATTTATCATACAATTGTAAGGATTATTCCATTTTGATTGAATTTGAGGGTTTGTGGAGATTTAGTGTATTTTTTCCAAGTTGTTATTCATCATGGACTGATATCGGTTGGAGGGAGATTAAAAACCTGTTTCGCCCCACTATGGGACTCCTCAGTAGTGCCCACCTATGACATCTTCATGGATGGAACCCAGGACCTTCAATTGATGACTAGCTCCGAGAGGTGATTCCTGAAGTTCCAGTGAGAAGTTGTGACCGGTGGGGTATACGTGGTGGACATGAGAACAAATACTCAACGATGACATTGGGTGATGCTCGCGCTATTTCATGAACTAACAGAAGTTGAAAACATGGATCATTGGATTCCTATAAAGTGGCTCAGTGGTAATGTGTTGGCCACAGAACCTGAAAATCCTGGGTTTGGTTCCTGGTGGGGTAGTGTCATGGGTACGCACTGCTGAGGAATCCCACACTAGGACAAAACAGGTGTCCGGTCCTCCTAGGTCTTTAATGTTCTTCCAACTGATCTTGTTCCATTTAAGTTTATTTATTAGAACAGTACTATTTACTGGATTAGGCTTTCGACATTTACTGTCCTTAGTTATATCCAAATAACTCCATGTTTTATGTAGTTCTCATTTTCTTGCCTCCTTTGTAATACAGGTAATAGGATCAGGTGCTGAATCATTCGTGTTGCATTTATTTGGTGCTGACTGGTTAAAAAAATATACGGTTATCAATCCCTCCCTCCACGCTGCAAAGTTAGTTTTAAGGATCGTCACTATACGCTGACTGGTTACTGGAGGGCAACCAACCTCACATTGTTTAGTCCTAAATGCTGACCGAATGCTATCGATCACTTTGCAATAATAATGGCCCGACTAGATCACTGGTAACGTCGCTCACTGCAATGTTGGCTGACGTGGGTTCGAATCTTATAGAAGACATCAGTTCCATCGAGTTTACAGATACGCCTTGCTGACGAGTACCAACAAGCACGAAACCTAGATTGAGCAGGGCTTCCTGCCGATTACTTCCAACCAACTGAGATTGTCACTCTGTCCCATCCTATTACGCAGCTGCATTTGGTTGGATGCATATCTGTGATCGAGCAGTTTTCTAGATTCTCTATTTCATTAAGATATGCAGAATTTGGTTTAGCTGGGCTTTTGTGCTCGAAAAAACCTTGTAATCATTTCAAGAGATTTAGTACATTAAATTATTCTACCGAATTGGATGAGGAGGATTTTCATACCGCATAAATAAAGCAACAGGAATGACTCAGCACCGGATATACGGAAAATACTACTACTCATTAGACGGCGAGAAAATGAGCGACTTTAAAGGGCACCGTAGTAACCATTATGATAATCAGTTAGGTCTCACCATTTCATGGGAAACCACCTATCTAGCAGAAATGAGGAGCCTAGTTAGTCACCGTATTGGTTGCAACCTGAGAAAATTAGAACTACATAAATCACATCTAGAAGCTGTGGAGTTATTTTGATATATGACTATGGACAATAAATTGTGTTTGAAGTGTCTCCTTGTGTGTTGTATCTGATAAACAAAACAAAATGTAATTTATTCTCACTGCAATTCGAAATTTTATATTAAAACCTAAGAACCACTTGTAAACTGCCAAGCCCTCGCGATCATTACTTGCCACTCAACAGCTATATTGAATTACCAGCCTGTTATGTTCGAAGCTCTGAAAGAAGTGACATAGAATACTAAAAAGCATAACACAAGTAGTTAAAGTGGGATCTTAGTTCAAATTTATCAGCATCGATAGGTTAGATAATCTGAATTTGGGTAGTTCGATCACCTGGGTTGCCTTTTCCTTATTTTAATGGTTTACTTTCTTTAGGCTAATTTACAGACATCTACCCAGCTGCGGGATAATGGAGAAAATTATCCAACTACCTTTTAATAAACCAATCCATTTATTCACATTCAGTCTGCTTATCCAAGCAAGCCTGATTAACACCTGAGTGTACAGCTGATGAGCTCAGCCGTAAACCGGCGAAACAGACTTATGGTACCAATAACAAACAGATGTAACTAGCAGAATGTGACGATTTTCAACTGTTCATATATTTCTTCATTTGAAAATATCATAAAGTTCATGAAGTAACTTCCTTAGACCTAACAGAGTTGATTGAATAAACTGAGCGTTGGGTAAATTGATTTTAAATGAAATATATTTTTACAATCGCAATGAAGTGGAAAAATAAACTTCTTACGTTTCACAACTTAGCGGAAATCGCTTCTTCAGAGAATAAAGCCTGTACAAGTTATAGGAATAGTCCTGGTGAGAACTTGACAGACGCAGAGGCTAATCACTAATTATTTGTATTTACAACATACCCACGAATACGAGACCAAAGAAGAATACAATATCGTAGTCGGATGGAATGGTATATTTGCGAGGTCGTTCCGAAATAACGATGCGTTCCAACTAACTGGCTAGAGGGTCGATTACGAGCATTGCAACGTAACACGACAGCGTGCCAAATGGCGAGGATGCTTGACCGGATGCCTTCAGCTTAGTGAGTCCGGTAAGACTGTGAAGGTCAGCATCAATGTTGTATCTCGTCGAACCCTAGGCAGTTGATTCTGGAGAAGTGTGTGACGCTACAAAGTTATTGAATGTTTAAATAACAGTTCTCATGATTATGATCATCATGTAGCTCATTGTTGTGCCCTACACTATGCACGATATGTTACCTCGAAAAGTCTCTCATTCGTCCTTTGTTTTCCTCCGAATTTAATCGGGTCATCTTTTTGTCGGCCCACAATATTCTCCATAGCCTGTCTTCGCTCAGTTGTCCAACTTGTTTGATTTCACTATAGTCGTTGGTGGCATCTACCTCAGCATTCACCATCTCCAGTCATTCATCAGCTAAAACGACTATTTCTTTGGATGTGACAATATGATCAATAGCAGATCTGCTTCTTCATTACCTTCTTTGATATAATGATGTAAAAATATTGGTTTTTGGTGAGACATTTCCATGGATGAAGTACAACAAACAGCATTCTTAGCATCTGTATCATAGCTATTCACTCGAACCTAATAGAACCTTCATTTGGTCATCATGTTAGTTTAGAATTTCGGGGAACGTATAGTTTCATTCTATGAAGACTAGTTTAGAAGCAATCTGTTTTCTCAAGAAGTTGCGTAAACATTGCCATTATACAGGATGGATAAGTATAACCATCAAGAGCGGTTGGTTTCAGTGAGTTTTCATTTACAGATTTTGTCGCTGCAATTTACACAGTAATTGGTAGGATTATTGGTTGTTTCACTAGTAAGATATATATATACTTGAATTTCTATGCCGTCCAAGTTTCGATTCAATTACATTCTATAGTGTGTCAACCAATGAGATAGTGACCTTGAAAAATGCAGGAAAAACGACCTTGTCCCTGGGGAAAAGGAGTGTATTCAAACTGAAAAAAATAGTGGGCTGTGAGGGCAACTGTTGACTATCCTGACTACTTTTCTTCGCTTATATTTATGTTTCAATTAAAAGTTTGTTATCAGATAAGGTGGATATTCTTGATAGAGTCGAATGACGTAGTCTTGAAATAATGTAAGCTACCACTTTACTCATTATGTTCATCTAGAGATTTCTAAGACTTCTGGTCGACCGTTAATAGCTTATCATTATGAGAATAGAATTTGGGCACTACGGTATGGTATCATTCTATCATACCTCTATTAAATACGTATAGCGTAGCGATACAATCTTGTTTAGTGATAAATCTTGCACTGGGAAACCTTATTGGATAGTTTACGATTATGAGCAGCTACATTCCTTAGACTTCAGATATACAGGACAGTCACTGAGATCAGTAATCTTTCTACAGTAGAACTGCTTGACGCTATTTCAAATATCAAGATAAGCACCATTTTAGTTGACGCTGCAGACACATCTTGTTATCAGTCATTATTATTATTATTTGTCCCTTGGGTTCCTAGTGGAATATAGGGCTTCAGTAGCACGTCCCCATTCCACTCTGTTCTCTGCAAACTTTTGAACCTGGCTCCACGATAGCCCAGTAGCTCTCATTTCTTCTTCAGACCATCTCCGCCACGTCACCCTTGGGCGTCCAACTCGTCGCTTCCTATCTGGGTTCCACTCGACGGTCTGGAATGGCCTAGAGTGTGATGTCCACAGTCGGCCTTCTCAGTGTATGACCAATCATATCCATCTCCACTTCCTTCCACTGCATATTTGTTCACTCATAGGTTCTTGCTTCGTTGGTTTGTTGTCCGACCAGAGTTCCTTGTTGCTTATTCTCATTATTCTGGCCATCTGAGTTGTTATCTGTCATAGTTCCCAGCAAACTACCTGAAACCGTCCAACACTAGTAGGAGTAGATCAAGATGGCGACATTCCCAACTTGATCATCACGTCACAAATTTCATTATTCCAATTCAGTTAGCATATGGGACAAGACAATATTAGATTGATTTATTTTTACTAACCAGCCAATTTGATTTAAAAAAATTTTCATAACAATAGATGACATGCACTATAAAAGATCCCCATGATTGTTGATACTACGTTAAATAATTAATGTAAGTTGGTGTATAATATCCAAATAACATAAACCGGGATATTTAACTTGTTTATTTTCACAAATTATGATTTTTATTTGCGTATACTATTTAACTGCTATTCCAAAAGTCATCTACTTTTGTTTTTCAAACTTAACATTCTATTGATGATAAAAAGAAGTTTTGGAAAAGCACGAGAAGAAGAACTTTGGAATGATTTATTTGGACCGAAAAAAGATAAAAACACTGAAGTTGAGGTAAAAAGTTGTTTGATGTAAAACCAGTTATATTATTTGAAATTTTCATATATGGAAAATGTAAACAGAGTTTATCACTTCAGGTTGATTCCTTTCATGAAAGTGTATCAAAAGGGCGAGGGGGGGGGAGGAGAATACATAAAGATGTAGAATTGAAATTTATGAAATAACTTAATATCTAAGATCTAGAAACGTAAAGTGCATGAATGTATCTTCGCTATGAAATTCAGTGACTGGCTTTACTAAAAATGTATTCTAGAAAAGGTTCTTCGGTAACTAGTAGGAAATCATTCTTGTTCCAATCTGTTAAAACTAGAACAAAGTAAACAACCGACAATTAACTGCTAGGTGTTTGGAGGCAATCAGCAAGAAACCTTGAACCTAGGTTTCTTATTTGTTGACACTCGTCAGCAAGGCATATTTGTAACCTGAGAAGGGCTGATGTCTCCTTAGAGATTCGAAGCTATGTCACTCAGTACTGCAATCGGAAACGATGTTGAAATAGTGGAGAATATTTATAGCTAAGGTGGATGGTCTTAGTTGTATTGTGTTCTCTGAACTGGGCTTTTTATTCGTGAAGCTTTCATTGTCTTTCTAGACGACATCATCAACACTAACTCCAGTATGAGGTGAGCTATTAATATCTCTCCATATATAAAAATATATCAGAAATCACGACAAGATTACTGAGACCACTTTGAATTGGTGTGGCTCATGAACCAACAAATTCCCTTCAAACATTACTATGCAGACCAACCCGACCGATGGCTGCTTCCTTGACGTGGTGGTCGGGCTTGCATATCACAATGACCCAACGAGCTATGCTGGTGGAACGCTTGTTCTCTCGGGGTCCTACCATACCAGAAAGGTCTGTTGGATAGTGGTTGAACGAAAAGCAGTTAGGGTTATAGTGTAAATTGCTACACTATAATAGGGGTCTGAGGGCGAAGTCGTACTGCTGCTAGCTAAATGAAGTGTGCCAGCAGTAAGGTGTTCCCTTGGATAACCAGCAGTGCCATGCTGATGCCGCCTTCTCAGTGGAAGGGGGGGTCAGAATAGGTCGGCCCCAAAAATAACACACTCCACCATGCCCCACGGTCTGCCGAGCCGGCCTGTTGGTTCACCTGTCGTTTCCTTTCGACCATCCGGCCTCAAAAATACAAAATTTCAAAACAATCATACACAAAAGGCTTCGTGTGACAGGCCTCAAGCAGATGTCCGATGGGCTCTGAGGTCACACAAATCTCTTTCAGGTACCTTAAGAAGAAATAGCCTTCCACGGTGTGGGCAGCCGGGAAGTGTCAACCGCCCTCACAACTCTGTCAGCACACAAGTTTTTTCTGACTGTTATCCATCTCTGCTTACGCACCCAATGACTGCAGCTCGGATGAAGTGAAGGACGAGTTCTACCGTAAACTGTCTAACCTCCTCTCGAAAGCCAAACGTTCGGACGTGGTGGTTGTTGCAGGTGACCTCAACGCACAGGTGGGTAGACTGAGTGAGGCAGAAAGGCACTTAGGTGGCACTTTCGGAATCCCAGCTGAACGTACAGATAACGGTGATCGCCTATTACAACTATGCTCAGATAACCGCCTATTTTTAGCCAGCACAAATTTCAGACATAAAGAAAGGCACTGTCTGACCTGGCGTCCACCGAGCTCGACTCAGCGATGGACACAGATAGACCACATTGCTATTAGTCATCGCTGGAGAGGATCGGTGGAAGACTGCCGCTCCTTCTGGAGTACGTGTTTGGACAGCGATCATGCGTTGGTCCGAGCACGTATATGCCTGCGTCTCAATGGACGTAGAAAAAATTTGGCAACAAAACCACTACGAGTTCTGCTGGACAACGAAAACACCAAAGCCGTGTTCAGTGAGAAGTTGGCTAGGCAGTTATCGGAACAAAAGACTGTCACTCATCCAGAAGAAGCTTGGTGCCATCTTCAGTCTACTGTAAAAGCAGCACTGGAGACTGTAGCCGACTCCAAGATAATGGCTAAAAAGAGCCAGTGGATATCAGCAGCTTCTTCCAAACTAATGGATGCACGTGAATGCATCCCTGCAGGCTCTGAGTACAATGAAGAGCGAGCGCAACTTAAAATAGACTGACGAAAAGTCTGCGCAACGATCGTGAACAGTGGTGGGCAGCAAAGGCTAAAGAGATGGAAAAGGCAGCGGCGATCGGTAACAGTAGACAGTTATTTAGACTTATTAAGGAGACTGGGGGGAAATGGTCAACAACAGTTAGTGAGGTTATAGCGGAGAAGGACGGATCTGCGATTCACTCGCAGGGAAGGCGACTGGAACGATGGGCAGAACACTTCGAGGAACAGTTTAACTGGCCTCCAGCCACCATTGCGCTGCCCGCTATCCAGTCGGACCCTGAATGGGACATAGAGACAGGCCCCCCAACACTAGAAGAAGTTGAGAAAGCGGTAGGTAGCCTGAAACGGGAAGGGCAGCAGGACCAGACGGACTACCTGCTGAGGTATACAAGAATGGTGGTAGAGTTCTCTTAGTCAGGCTAACGGAAGTGTTAGCCAGTATATGGGAATCAAATACGATCCCCTCCGACTGGTCTAAGTCACTCATCATCCCAGTCTTCAAGAAAGGCGAGAAGTCCTCTTGTGATAACCACAGAGGAATCAGCCTGACAAACATAGTGTCTAAGATCCTAAGTTCTATAATTCTCCGACGCCTGAGTGGAGCTCGGGAACAGCAAGCCCGAGAAAACCAGGCAGGCTTTAGACCTGGCCGTGGATGTATCGACCAAATATTCACACTGCGCCAGGTCCTGGAACATAGGCATGCTTACAGACGCCCGACAATAGCTGTATTTCTCGACCTGAAGGCGGCATTTGACTCCGTTGATCGAGAAGTCTTATGGCAATGTCTGTCACTGAAAGGCGTGCCTAGTAAGTACATCACCTTATTGAAAGCTCTCTACTCGAACACTTGTGGGCATGTTAGAGCCTATGGTGAGTTGTCCAGGGAGCTATACTCATCAAGTGGTGTCCGTCAAGGATGCCCACTATCCCCATTCTTATTTAATTTTATCATAGATATTCTTATGGAGGTTTCCCTCTCGTCACCTAATTACAAAAACGTTGACCCAATCACAGGTGAATTTTCTTTAGATCTAGAATATGCAGATGACATAGTCCTGTTAGGTGAAGACGCTGACAAGATGCAGAGTCTTCTGAACACTTTGAGTGGGAATTTGAGAATGTTTGGGATGCGATTTTCACCACCCAAATGCAAATTTTTGCTCCAGGACTGGTCTTCAGCGGTACCGCGGTTAACAATAGAGAGTGAAGTGGTTGAGTGTGTTGACCACTTCACTTACCTGGGAAGTAGGATCAACCCTGGTGGGTTAGTTGCCGATGAGATTTCTGCACGGATACAAAAGGCTCGATTGGCTTTTGCCAATTTGCGCCACCTATGGCGCCGCCGTGATATTCGTTTGTCTATTAAGGGTCGCGTGTACTGCACAGCAGTCCGCTCTGTTCTACTGTATGGCTGTGAAACATGGCCATTGAAAGTGGAAGATATAAAAAGGCTTCAGGTGTTTGACCACCGTTGCCTTCGTAGTATAGGACGTATTCCGTGGTGTCACCATGTGAGTAATGCAGAAGTTAGGTGTAGAGTTTTAGGGAGAAGAGGTAAGTCAGTTGACGAGGTTGTGAACCTTCATCGACTGAGATGGTTGGGACACGTACTACGTATGCCTAGTCACCGATTGCCTCGTCACACAATGTTGGCTGAGGTGGGTCCAGGCTGGAAAAAGGCCCGAGGTGGCCAGACTAAAACATGGCACCAATGTATGAAGTCTCTGACTGTTGGTTTAAGCCATGTAGGACGATGCAGACTAGGTGGTTGGGGTCCACGGGACAAGAGGAACCAGTGGTTGGAGACCCTAGGTGATATGGCTCAGAACCGAAGTCAGTGGCGCAGATGTATACACACATTATCCTCATCTTAACAACGCTATACCGAATCTCACCATTTTGTCACTCCTCTTTCCTTTCTTCTCGTACTTTATATTTCTTTTGACTGCATTCACTTATCTTCATCCTTCACCTCACTACCTTTCTACTTGATGAACTGACGTGAGGTGTGGCAACTCGGACCGTTACGCAGTAATGCCTGGTCCTATGTTGATAATGATGATGATGATATGCAGACCAAAGGATGCAACAACTAAAGAAAACAAACCGAATATCATTTACGAAATCACCTGCAATAACTGTTGTCAACTACACTGGGCAAAGTGGTCGCCCTCTTCGCCTTCGTCTACATGAACACCAATTGGCTACCAAATGTCACGACATTTCATCACTCGTTTCAATGTACGTGAATAACTATGAACATGAATTCAATTTTGACAACGTGGAAATTTTGAACAGAGGAAACATAAAGAATATCGGCGAATTGCTAGAAGCTTGGCATTCAGGTCAGTCAGAGATGTATAGACATAGACCCAATTTATCAAACGATAAGAGAAATGACAAATAATGGAAAGGTCAAAGGTTGTGCAGAGGAACAGCCAACAGGTAAATCTGTACAGTCAATGACACAACTATCAGAGGAAACAAGCAATCACAAGCCAGCTTGTCAGGGCAAGCTACTAAATCACTCACGGAGAAATATTGACAGCTCACTTCACAGTGAAGTTAGTGCTGATGTTGACTAGAAAGACGATGAAATCTTCACGATTAAACAACCCAGCTCAGAGAAAACAATACAACCAAGATGTTAACACTTAGCTATTCAAGGTGCAAATGACATTGTGTAAAAATTAACTGGAGACATTGATTGTACACAGGAAAGTAAACTATCATATATTATCGAGTCCCGGGTGTTGACTGAACACTATTTCATGTTTTTAGTGTAGTCACTAAGCTAGAAGACTAAGCAACATGGTAAACTTATTTTCAAGTAAAACCTTGAGAAAATAAAAGAAACTTGGAAGAACAAAGGTGAAATCATTCTAACAGCTAACTAAGGAATGGATGAAACTTGTGAATATTCTACTTAAGTGCAGCAAAAGGTCCCTGTACTTCAAGAGGATTCTCCTTAACACTGTCAGCTTGAAAGGTGAATGGAAATATAGATTATTCAGAATAGATAAACCATTCAAAGTTGGAACACCAATGAAAAGTCCAGAAAAATCAATGTTAGAAGGTACAGAACCTTAACAATTGATCTTGTGTGAATTTTACAGACGCAGGGGCCAATCACTAATTATTCGTATTTTTAATATACCTTCAAGTGCGAGACCAAGGAAAAAAGACATTAGATCAGTCAGATGAAATAGTATATTCGATAGACCGTGCCAAAATACCGATGCTACACGTCACAGAAACATGCAAAATATAAGCGGATATTTTAAAAAGTGATGTATAATTCTATTTTATCGATTAATTCCATCTTGATTTTTTAAGCAAACATTTCATCCCCTTGTTTTTAATGCTTTTTACTCATTTACTTACTACACTACATACAGTCGACGACAGATTCACATAAAGGTCATAATGGAGAAGATATACCGATAATTCACAGCGAAACTAATAATCACATCAATGAAACAAATAACCATAATAACAATCAACTTAAATCTTTACCTTCAAACGATTCATCATGGTTATCATCGAATAGAACAATGAAACAAAGAAGTGGGTTCAATGGTATCAACAGACCGAATACATTCACCTTTATAAGTTCAAAGAATGATGTTGAAAGAAAACATTTTGATAATCAACAAAATTTAAGGAAACAACTGATTAATGTAACTTCTCATATAAATGCTTATGATGATTCTGAACTTGAAGAATTACAAATTTGAAACTGATAACTTTTAATACCTATAGGTTAGTTATCACTTACGTATACATGAGTGTGTTCTTGTGTTTATTTGCTCAAAGAAGAATAGTTGTTGAAAGAAATCTGTCGATTGTCTTTGAATACAAAACCAGTATTATCAAATAAAATTTCTAATAGGAATAAGGTTGATGCATTAACTTAAAATACATCTTTAGTTACTTATTTTGGATATATGCGCATGAATTCACTGACAGTATGGCTTTGCAAATTATACATTGAGTATTGAACCGGAGTGAATTATAGAGGAAGGATCTACGAGCATAGGAGCACTTTTTTGAGTCTGTGTGATAGTGAACAGAAGACTGTATGAGAATATTAACTACTGTACTGCTTACCAATAATCTGACTGTTAAGAAGTTAGAAGAAAAAAGACTGTAACCTCAGTGAATAATGCTATGGAAAGCGCAGGTGTAAATTGATGGTAGCATTTACCAATAGTTTTTGGAGTCTAGTGATATATTTCCACTTAAGTTTCTACTGTTGTAAGTATAATTGATAAGTTTTCTTCGCAGTTCTGTTTACTCATCTAGCTTTATGAAGTGTTTTCGTTGGTGTTTGCGCTTGACATCACCTGCCTCAACCCAATGTGTTTGATGTCATTACTATTATTTGTCCTTTGGCTTCCTAGTGGAACATAAGGCTTCAGTAGCACATTTCCTTTGCACTATCTTCACTGCAGTCTTGTGAACCTGGCTCCACGACTGCCCAAAAGCTTTCATTTCTTCTTCACACCATCTCCTCCATGTCACCCTCGGACGGACAACTAGTCGTTTCCCACTCGAGGGGTTGGCCTGGCGCGCGATGTCCCTAAACAGTCTTCTCAGCGTATGTCCAATCCAATCCATCTCCACTTTCCTCTGCATATTTGTTAGGTGATAGGTTCTTCGTCGGTCGGTTCATTGCCAGGCCGCCAGAGTTTTTTGTTGCTTATTCTTACTATTCTGGACATCTGATCTTCAGTGTCGAGCGTAGGTGGCAGTTGTTGATGAAGTATGATTACAGATTGTTGGAAATACTTTCCGTAAAGCGCCAAGTCTCTCAACCATCACATAGAAGCACTAACTTCCCTGACATTAGGATCTTGTCCACGCTTTATGCTGAGTGCAGTAGATCTCCACACTGATTATTTCAGATTAATGCATGAAGGCCTGTCTTGCTGTCTTTCCGGTCCTGGCTTTGACGTCCTCATCTGTGCCACCGCCACCTGTAGTTGAAACGATGCTGTCCAGGTGAAAGAGACTACTTCCTTTAGGTTTCTCCCGTTGATGGTGATTGGAGCTTGCCGTTGTTGGTTTGGTATCTTCATCACCTCTGTCTTCTCTACGTTCACTTGAAGTCCTGTCTTCGCTGCATCTTCTGTCAACTTGTTAGTTTTCGCGTGTAGATCATCAGGTTTATGCGACATCAGACACAGGTCATCGGCAAAATCCAAAGCTTCTCCTGGGGTCTTTTCATCGCTCCAGCCAGCGTATCCTCATATTCTCGCTCCTCACAGTTTGTTGCATGATCCAGTCGACCATAATCATGAAGTTCATCAGTGATAGTAGGCAACATTGTCTTACTCCTATTTCCCCTTCAAAGACATCCCTCGGCTTTCCATTGTGGATCACTTGCCATGTAGCATCATATAGCTGCTGTTGAAATAGGTTGATAAAGGTTTGTGGCACTAAAACCATAGTGTAGAAGCAGTTGGCAAATTACTTCTCGGTCGACGCTATCGAAGGCTTTTACAAAGTCGATGAAGTTGAGGTAAAGATTTGACTGACATTCTATATATACTCTGTTCTATGATGATGCGTAGCGAAGCGTCACAATTCGATCCGCACATGAATTGTTTTTCCTGAAGTTTGATGTCATAGAGTAGGATAAATTGCTAATGCTGATTATCGCTTGTGAGGCAGTAGAAACATATAGAACTTACATGATTAATTTCAGTTTGAATAACTGATATACCCTATTATTTTATCGTTATGCACTACTTCTAATTTAAAAAAACTCCTAAAATATGGACTTCTTAGAATGATCAATCAGAAGTTTGTTGTCACCTTATTGACTACCCCTCAACATCTATGAGATAACCAACTGATATTGACTCGTGGTAAAAATCTGCAAAAGATTCGTTTTAAATCTGTAATCAAAAACATTTCAAAGGATTATGTGTTTTTTTCAAACAGTCTTTAAAAACTACGACGCAGACTTTACCGATTACCATAAACTTTCAGGGGTTAAGGTGGTTTTGTTCGGTTCGCATATTTCCATACTTGAATCTCTCTTTGAATTCCCCATTTTGCTGAGGACATTGGCATTGACCACACGACTTTTCGAATTAATATCCTTTATTTTGAAACCCATTTCCTGGCTAAAATCTCCACTTTAAGCTAAATAACATCAATAAAAGCACCGGAAAAAGTTAAAAGTTTGTTTTCTCCAACACCTAACGGCTTCCATTCATCGGATAGGAGTTTTGCTGCAATTCCAGCTTATCTATTTCCAAAACAGAAAAGATGACTGACCGTAAGTGTAGCATCAATAGCATAGCAAAAGGTATCCCTGTTGCATTGACTGTTCACCATAGAGTTGCTAATATTATATTGTCGGATCTATGTTACAAAAAGAATTCTAGGCATCAAGTTTTGTGATTTGTTCATAAATCCGACAGACTCACCATCTCAACGCTCTCCGATTGATGTCACACGGTTAGCAAGAAGTCCTGCTGAAATTAAGTTTTTTGTTGACACAGCTAAGTGTGTCTGCAATTACGATGGGACTCATAAACTTGCAGAGATCTGAACTGGTGTCATCCAATGCTGCAGTAAGCGACGCTACTTCTGACCTATCCAAATGTCCTACTCCGGTTTTTTGAACATCTTAGTATCTTTTTAGAATTTCAACACCGTATCACTATTAATAAACTGTTTGAGAAGTTGGCTAGATGGTAATTAATCACGTTAACACAATCGGTGATGGACTTCTAGTAATTAGTGTGCATAGTTGTGACTCATTGGTTCCAAACAGTGGGTCATAGGTCCAGACCCACCCTTGTCTACCGAGGTTTACGCAGACAGGTAGTAGAATAAGACCTCACACATTAGTTGTAGCCCATCGACTACTACAAGAATGTGCGCAAGCTTGCTCAGTCCATTCCTCCTCAGTAATAAATGTTCTCAACGACAATGAAAACCAACAGTATTCATCTAAAGGATACGAAAAAATGTCACGTAAAACTCCAAATCGTCCGGTAAGCGAATGATTTCTCTGAATGTAGTTTCTCTATTCACCAATGTCCCTATCACGGAAACCACCTTTTTTCTGTGTGATTTCATTGAAGATTATAATTTTCACCTAGGTATCCCAAAATGGTACTTAGAGGAATTACTTATAAGATGTACTTTAAATGTGTAGTTTAAATTCAACGAGCTGTACAGAAAAAACGATGGGGTCACCACTTGCATCGCAAGTGGCTGATTACTTCGTGACAAACTTAGAGAATAGTGTGCTCCGCTCGGCAATTGTTACTTCCTACCTATTTAAAAGGCATATGGATGATACACTCATCATGTGATCAAAATATAGATGTTGGGACTGTAGTTAAAAAGCTTAATGATTGTCACCCTTTGGTCAATTTCATTTTCTCAGTGGCTTATCGAAACGTAACCTAGATGGTTCCCTTCAAAGACTGATTTATAGGAAGTCAACACAGAATGGACAACACATGAATTTCCATAGATGGATAGCCCCTAAGCAGAAAAATGGAATCCGATTTATTCTGTGTCATCAAGAATACACACGACTGATACTATTGACAATGAATTGCATAAACTAAGGAAATTTCGCATACAAAATGGATACACATCCAGATATGAGAAAAAACTAGACGGCTTTATTTATGAATGCTGGTTTCAAAGGTAACAAGGCAGCAGAGGTCCCAGAGAATCAGCTGCCCAGATCGCTTAAGAAGACATTCTTCTCTGTGAAGCTACAGATCAGCTTCTCTAGTCAGCGGTCGGTAACGGGGAGTGTTAAGGATAAGTTGCCGCTTCGGACCACCTCAATATATGTGTACGAATTTACTTGCTCCTTTGCAGCTAGTTATACAAGCCACATAAAGCCCTCACTTTCCAAAAGTATCTTTGACCACTATCCTGCATGGTTGTCGACGGAAGAGTGCAAACCGAACAACTGTTCAATTCTTGAACATTTAGTCAACTTTAGACACAGTTCCACCAGTCCTTCTGCGTCATTTACATAGTCAAAGGAAGTAGTTCAAAAGAAGTGCATAGAAGAAGTACTTACAACACACCTATCCGAGCCTGATTACTTTGTGCTCACACACACACACACACAATCCCTTACTTTATTATGGTCTCAATACCATCACAGTTCTCCGTTTCAGTATAATTAGTAAGACCTCTGTTATCACCTTCACTACGATCCTTGTTTGTTTCTTCACCTTCTTTATATCTATCAAGTGGACACTCAATCTTCGCATTTCATATCCACCGACACTTTCCACCTTGTCGAATTCCTTCTTTGCTTTTCTGATTATTTCCATTGTCTCAGAGATTATTGTGCAACTACTTTACATTCTGTATTTCAGCACTTCATTAATGATGGATATTCTCATGTATTCTATAAAATAACTTCAGCCAATATTGTTGTAGATTAACAGCAAAATTATGAAAATAGATTCGGAGACAGATGATAATAGGATCCTGACAGGATAGTAGTATATCATAGGACTGTAAAGAAAAGACTAAGTTGGAAATTCTCATTTTCATACTGGCTGAATAATCCTCCACCAGAAAACTTACAAAAGCCACTCCCTAACCTCTTACAATTTAGCCGTGAACTAACCAAATCATGGCTCCCACATGAACTTACTACAATCTTCAGCACCATTTAAACCTCATAATGGTGTTAACTGCCAATATTTTTTAAATACTAAATTTACTTAAATCCAATGATGCATCAAAAAAATCTGTCTAGAATATAGAATCATTATAAATTCTCTGCGGATTATTACGAGGAGCAGTTTCGCAAGAAGAAAAATGACATCGTATAGGAGGGCAAGGATTACATTTATTGAATCAAGATTGGTTGTATTACAAAGTAATCTCG